CCTGGGGCTGGTCCAAAGGCCTCGGGGCCTTAGGTTGCCTACCCCTGCTTTGGAGGGATGTTGAAAATATACATAAAATTTTGTGTACAAAACACATTTTTTAAAAAAATTATAGCAGAAATAGCCAACAGTGTTCCTTACATATACTTGAAATAAGCACTATAGGCCTTTACCATAATAATAATAATTTATTTTTATCCCGCCCCTCTATCGAGCAATTGGGGCAGCTTACAAAGATAAAATCCATACAGTCCAAGATAAGACATCCTCCACCCCTCCCGACATTAAAACAGTATTAAACTACCCATCCATTAAAAAGCCTCAGTGGGGCTGAGCAGACTGGTAAGGATAGCACAAGCTGAGATTGCGCTATTCTGGCTTTAGCGCTCACCTGGGTTGATCCCTGCATCAGCATGTGGACAGGTGGGTGTTTACATGGCCAGGCACGGCGACTGGATTATCAGTACCAGCAATGGCGCAGCAAGGTGAGGAGCGTGTGTGTGCACGTGCCAGGATTTGTCACTGAGTTTCCAGGAAACTCCACAGCACATCAAGGGTCAAACTGACCTGGGGTAAATGTGGCATAGTGGTTTGAGTGTTAGACTAGGACTCTGGAGACCATGGTTCAATTCCCAGCTCAGTCATGAACCCCACTGGGTGACCTTGGGCAAGTCATATGCTCTCAGCCTCAGAGGAAGGTAAAGTCAAACCTGCTCTAAACAAGCAAGGATAGGGTCACCATAAATTGGAAATTACTTGAAGGCACACAGCAGCAGCAAAAGCTGTTTAAATGAGAGAATGTAGTGATCCATGTCCAATCTACCAGTATTGGGCCTGATCCTGGGGGGGGGATCCCAACGTTAACTATTCTTTGCACATTACCCATCTCTTATGACCAGTATATCTATCTCAGAGTCCACAGCAATCATATTTCCGTTACATAAACAAAGATATCACCCTCGAATATAGCATTGTTCCCCCCATTAGACTTGTTACTCCAAAAGACTAAACCAGGGACAGGGAACCTTTTTGAGACCTGGGCCGGTCTCCCGTAGCCCAGGTGTCGGCTGGGCCGAGGGGGGGGGAATGGCGTACGCGCACCCTCCGCCGCCGCACGTGGCCGCAGCCGCACGGCACATGTCGCGGCCGCGACGCGTTCGCACATGCGCAAACACATCGCGACTGCCATTTTGACTTCCAAAATGGCGATCGCAGCGAGCGCGGCCGAAAACACGCTCCGACGGCGGCGCGCGGCGGTGACGGCAGCAACCTTCGGCCTGGACCGGTAAGTCTGGGGCCCAGGGCCCGAACCGGCCCCCTCGCCGTAGGTTGCCAGTCCCTGGACTAAACTATAATCTAACAACATTCAGAAATGGTTAGACAGGAATCCCTATGTGAGTGGTGAAATTGAGAAGGAGGCTATTTTTTATTTGTAGTTTCTGCAGTAGAACATATTACCACCAAAGGTAGTATTAGAATGGAGCCACAGAAGATTAAAATGTTACTGAATGTTATATTAATTCAAGTTCATGCAAAGACAGAAATTTTAATTACATCCTTTAAGCACTAGAAGCATATGAAACACAAATTCTAAAGATAGAAGTTTGATTATACTGTATTTTACTTTGTTATTAAGTAAATAGGGACAGCAGTCACACACTGATTTACTTGCTTGAGCATAGATTATACTTTTGAAAATATTCCTGGCTTTGGGCAAAATACATGGCCACACAAATACTTAAGTTATGCACAATCTCAAGTGTATACCAATTGGCAATTCTGGCATGGATAACAGCTTTTTTAGCATATTTATAAAAGCAAGAGCTACTGCATTATTTGAGGCTTCTGATAATTGTGCAATAACCTGTTACCCATCATAGTTCATACAATGCAATCCTGTTCAACAAAACATACTCAGTTTTAGCTGATTCAAGACAGCTAGAGGCACTCAATGCAAATGAAAGATATTTCCTTAGATGTTTAAAATGTATTTGTAAATGGAAATGACATCTTATTGATATGGTAATAATATATATGATTGCATCTTCTTCAGTACACATCATAAAACTTGAATCTGTTGACAGATTAACATAAAAGAGGCAAGGAGGAGGAAAGTAGGGAATGAAACCAGAATGGAAACTGCAAAATTATTTTAAACCACTTGATTTCCTTTGCTCCTTCCTATGGACAACCAGGACAGGGGTGTACAATTTAGTATCTTTTGTTTTATTCATTCTCCTGCGGAACCCTTTCTCAAGATATGCCAAAAATAAGATTTAAACTTTTGGCAAGACCACATAGCTGCCAATACCTAATACCATCCTTACTTACTTTGCTAAAAAACAGAAGATAATTCTTTTCCTATCTGTAAGCTTTAAATCTCTGGCATCTCCATCCTGTGCTGTTTTTAAAAGGAATCTGAGAGAAAGCACTAAATTTGTTGTGCATGCAATTAACAGGAGATGCATGCTGAAGCTCCCTTCTAGAATAAAAACCTGCTAACTAGAACTTCTGATGCATGTTTTATTTGCATCAACATGCCATTTAAACTGGCCCCAAACAATATTTGTTCAGAATTAGGTAAAACCCCACACCACAACTACATTCAAAAGTTCTTCTCTAAAAAATTGCTAGTGGAAACAAGGTCAGGAGGAAGTGGGGGTGGAATTACCACTTTTCTGTGAAGCTACTCAAAAAAGACCTTTACAATCCTGCCAAAATATTGGGATCACACAAATAGTTGGCACATTTTTAGGAATTACTCAGAAGAAAACACCTCCTGCACTGTGGCTGTTCAAAATGGGGATTCCTTGAACACTATAGCTGCATCCACACTGCAAAAATAATCCAGTTTGACACCACTTTAATTG